GTTAGAAGTCGGAAGGACTGTGGGAGGCAGTGTTGAGGAAGCAGGACTGAGGCCACCGGCTGCTGGCTGGACTCGACTGGCCAGGCGACCAATCCTCTGCTTTTTGCTTGCCACAGGGAAGGTGAAATTGGAATCCAGAGGCCGTTTCTGTAATAATAACAGAATAACTAATATATGATCAGAATTAGGCTTTGCTCCCATTCTGAGAAAGAAGCATTTCTGAACAGGCAAGTGTTGAAAACACATCATTCTCAGCTACAGAGAGCTGTCAAACAAGGAATTACTGCTGCTAAGTATGCGGTTTATATAATTCCTAGTTTCTCATCTTGGGATACAAAAAGTCCTTCTTCAACAGCTGAAAGGTTTTGGGAGAAAGATACTCCTTGCAGCAGCTCTATCAAAGGCTTCCCCAAAACAAGGAGGTCGGGTCAGTTTTGTTTAGGTCCCAATTTCCACTCGGACACACTGGGGTAAGACTCAGCTTTTGGGGTCACACAGCCACACGATTTACTAAAGCGGCCCTGAGAAGCAGGCGGTGGGCGCTGATCACAGCATGTCAAGTGCAGAGCTGGGAAGAATAGGGAAAAGCTCCAGTCTGGCTACAGTTGTCATTCCAGCTGTACTCCAGCTGAAACACTGGTTCACATCCTCTTCCTACCAAGCATACCCTGCTCACATCCACGTACATTGGAAGCTGGGTCCAGGAGTGCCAGACATGGCTCTGTGTCAGCTGCTGAAAGAAATCCACATTCTGTGTGGACAGAGACAGGTCAAAAGAGGTTGCTGGGACCTGCACCATTTCCTGCTATGGCTGGAAGGGAGTTAGGGATAAATAGAGCTGTGTCCTCCCTCCTCTATTCCAAGACAATTCTCTCCATGGTGGAAGGCTTTCTATACTTCCCAGCTTACGTCTGTACACTGCGTGCACTGACGTGCAGTTTGAGGCTCAGAAAGCCTCCAACTTTTCACACGTGGGCTCCACTGAACCAAAACTGGGCCTTAAATGCTGCCTAGAGGGGGAAAAACAATATTCCTCCAAGTGGATCACTACTGTAATTTGTCCTTATTCTAGGCTTTGCTAAGATTTCTTTTTAGACAGGACCACAAGGATGTTTGGGTGTGTTTTATGGCCTAGAGCTGCCAGATCACAAAGAACCTTGAACAGACACAACCAGGTACCAAAGACACAGACACATCTTGTCTTTAGCAGAGCTTCCTGTGCATCACAGTAAACAAATCACATCTGCAAGTTTGTTGCAGTCTTTGACACTGCAACAACCATCTTTAAAAGAATACAGGAATCTCATTAGAAAGAAATGCTTCAGGTGTTTATGCGCTAAAAACAAGATTAGTGCTTCACATCACAGCTGTTACACCAATAGAAAGTGTGGTAAAATATCTTAATGCTCTGTACAGAATGTTTAAGGAATGCACCAAATACCTCAGAAGTTCTTGATGGAGCATCTGTATCAGAAGGTCCCCGAGGTGTCAAATGGCTGGTGCTGGTGGCATTCTGAGAGGAAGCTGATTCTCTGTAAGGATGGCCCAACATTTCGGGTTACTAGCCAAAAATATCTATTGTCATACTTCTTTCCTTAGAGGGAAGACAGACCTTCATTTCCCAGGAAGTTTTCTGAAATGGCTCTCGTCCTTCCCCTACAGACTGAACTTACCTAGAAAGTCTTATCTCCAAAACCTGTCTGTCTACTTCAGTGTAGCCAGGCCAATCTTTCTGAATGTCTTTAAATAAATGTTCCTTCAGACTGAAGGAATTATCCTTTGCATTCAGGTTGGCTACCTACAGGAAGATAATTAAGAAACTAAATGTTCATTACATCTAAATGCAAACTGCAGATCAAAAACTGCTACTGCAAAACTAAATCAAAGCTGAAAA